TTGAACTAGTAATAACATTTCTTTTCTGATGGTTTGTTCTGTTAACCCAACTGACCCTTGCCTCGTGACATACACCTCGTAGTAAAGCAGGGAGTGACTTGTGCGCGTGAGTTCAAGCGAAACCAAATTCAATGGTGCCGAGATTGATATCCTGTTGCTCGGTGGTTTTAGAACCCCCAGGACATCACAGGACCTCCTACAGTCATCTACCGCTATCCTCTTCCCTTCCCTCCCTCTTCCCTCCAGTGAGTCCCCTAGGATATGGGTCTGTATCTTGGAAATGAATATAATATATTAGTTGCGCCATATGGAACCTCTGACGCAAAGTGTCACGAAAGTTATATTTTGTATCTAAAGGTGTTTAGGCCGTTTCCTCTCTGGCTCAATCATTTCTCGGAATTTCTTTCGATCTAGCTCGATAAAAAAAATTAGAGACACGTTCTCTCTCTTTTGTTTGTCTTAAGACATTTATCTTTTGCTCTAAACTATAAGCTATGTCTATATTAATTTAATATCAGCACATTCGGTGACTCTTTCTCTTATATTTCTAATTACACGCATTGTTCCTGTAACTGCGTATCCTATATTCCAATGTTTGTTGTACGTTGTACAATGATCGAGAGGCGGTCTATAAATTCGACGGGATATCCATTGAAATTGTGTTCGAACACAAGCTGCGCTCGCGTGCAATTTATCACGCGCAAACGTCTCGGATGTGACTACGATCAAGTTGACCACAATAGCCCGTGTTGATGGAGTCTCCCTTCGGGCACTCTGTGACACTCAACGGTACCAATAAACGCAAACAAATTTCTCGAGGGCCCGGGACGAGCCTCGTACTGGGAAACGCTCGTCGCGTTTTATTCCTTCGCATTATATTGAGACGTATAGAATGTTCTCATGAAAACCGCACGTCGTCGCGAGTCTTCCTCTTCTCGGCACGCCGCTCGACAATGGTGGCGCACAATGCTCGCCAAATTACGGCTGTTCCAGTCAAAATACGTTTTCTACAAGCTCTTCTTCTCCCTCCCTCCCCTCCCCCTACCCCCCCCCCCCTCTTTCTCTCTCGTACACGCTCTGTCACCCTCCCGGTCTTCATCTCGTTTCTGCTCGGGGCCCGTTCTCCGTTTTGGTAATCGCGATCGGCCATCTACGGCCACCGTGCATCGGGTGACCGCAAACTGCAGCTGTATTTTCGGTTATCGCCGATCACCGATCTGCGGATTTTCGGTTTTTACGGAAGGCACGAGGGGATGAGAAAAAGCGTGCGCGCGAGAGGGAAAGAGAACCAGCAGCTTTCTCTCTCTCTCTCTCTCTCCCCCCCCCTCTCTCTCTCTCTCTCTCTCGCACTCGCCATCACTTCGCTTTTTACCGCTAGCTACAACGTTATTCGGCATTCCTCCGCACTCGCGTTTTCACCAAACATGCGTTACACTTCCGAAACTTGTTTTCCACGCTCGAAACAAAACTCGCTCCTTCCAGAATCGTGTTCATCGATGAAATTACGCGTTTAAATCCAATCGGATCAACAACTTCGTTTATCAGAGCTCTGCACTCTTTGCATATTATCCTTTTTCACTTTAACGCCCGAATGTACCCCGAGCTCGTTGCAGGAAGTGAACACCCGCGTACAATCGAATAAATCTAGTGTCTCCTAGCTCGTCGAGAGAAAAAAAAACGATGAGATTTCCGGAGATGGGCTTGTAATTTGTAGTATATCTTCCCCGCGCAACGGATGCGAGCCTCGCGCACACACTCTCCTCCATTTTTTGCGTACCGAAAATCCGTGGGTTAAAAACTCCGATAGCGTACGACAGAGAGAATCGTATGAGCGCGAGGGCGAGCGTTAAGCAGCTGTCGCCCATTCGGTGCCATTGTCGCGCGATGTTGAGTGTTCCCGAACAGTGGAGAACGGCCGGTATTGTACCGTTCCTGAGATCTGATGATTACCGGGCGCGCGATACTATCTCATCTGCATCGGACCGTTCGCCTCTCTCGTTCTTTCTGCGCCTACATAAATACGTGTCTACGAGCGTGTACTCCCGCCCCACAGAAATGTATCCCTGTCCGACCTGGGTGCGGGAGCGCGCGAAGAAGTCTTTCCGGTCAAACGTCGCCCGACGCGAATTTAGATGTCGAGATTGCGCGAGCGCCTCGGCCCACGACTAAATCGCCGCGCCGAGATGTCCTTATTAAGGCGGCCATATCGCGTGGAAAATTTGCCGACGAGGCTTGTCGACGGGCTCGTCGACAAAAATGGGGTGCGTAGCGTCAGCATTGTGATGGGAGCGCGGATTGTTGCAATCCAATGTCGCTTGATGGGATGCTGCTTGTTGGCAAGATTGCGCGAACACTGCGGCGTTCTTCTCGCTTGGAGATTTTTCATAAGATTGACTCGAGTGGAGACAAGCCCGAGGAAAGTTTTTAATTGTCGACATTGGAAGGGACATTGCGTTGTTAAAATCAAAAGCTTAATCGTACTTGTAAAATATGTCTTTAGAAATAGAAATATGTGCCCCTGCGATACTTTTTAACAGAAATTTTCATACATTTCCGAGCCAGTTTCTTCGTTGGCGCAAAAATCTGCTTTATTTTAAAATATTAGAAACTTGTATAACTTTGCATAACGTTTCTAATATTATATAGCCGCTTGATTACAGTCTAAAAACGTGTACGGGGAGATATCCAAATGATACATTTTGAAAATAATGTCTCCTTCCTATCGCGCAGCGATACAGTTTGTAAAATATATGTAGACAGACACCGTTCTGATGTGAGCGCGATAAGCTATCGGCATTATGCAGCCGCTTATAAAAACTCGATTGTCGTCGAACGCGGACGAACGGGATTAATCTCGATCAGCAGTCTTTTTTTTTCGTCCGGTATATCGAAATGTTTTCTCTGCGAGAAATAATGCTGATTTATAGTCCGCGTTAATTCGAGATTGGTGATTGCGCGCGCGAAAAAAATGTATTTTTGGGAAACGTCCAACGGGCGAAACCGAAAGAGTTTATCAGATTCGCGTCATCTACGCGAGATACATCCGACTCTTGCGATTTCTCCAAGGGCCGTTATTAAATTTTTAATGGCTTTCATAATCTCCTGTTTAACGCTCGCGCACGCGAGATAACGCAGTGGAGTATTTCGCGATAATCGGCACTTCTCGTTCGGTCGAGCGTTCATTTAATTTGTCGTACGGTGAATTAAAATTATTTAATCTCGCGTCGGTGAACGGCGTTCACGATAATCTATGCGATTTCGGGCGAACGTTCGAGCAGACCTACAACGATGGCGATCATGAGAAGAGAGAGAGAGTTAAACACGATAATTAATTACCGCGTACCGAGACACGATAATTCATCGTGGTCCTGTCAGCGATTCTTTCCGCCTCGGTCGATGCCAATTGCGCGTTGAGGAGCCGAGCGACTCTTAAGGCATCTTCTCTGCTCTTTCTCCCGCAGTATTTTTTTCAGATTTCTTGGGATAGCCTCGTTATGCACGCGTCGGCGAGCACACGCGCGGGGCGTAGAAAGATACTTGCGACGAAAGATACCCTTACGTCGCAAGAAACCAATGTTCTCGGAATACACGATGCAACGCTTTCATTATTGTCGAAAGATTCGGTAAAATCCTTACGGCTAAGCGTAGACTATATACGGATGCCACCGTGAAGTACCCGGTAAAAAGAAGCGTTTAGCTCAGCCTCATCCATTCACAAATAGTAATGTTTAAATTATTACTTTCGTTTGTGATGTGCCATAATTAATTAACGGCGAAACGTGTAAAAACTCGTTAATTATTTATATGTACGAAGATATATTACAGAATTTTAAAATATGTAATACAAAAACAAGCCAAACAAAATTAACAATGCAAAAGTAATAGAAAAGAGACCCCTAACATGAGATAGCGGGGCTTCTGCTAAATTAACATCATCTGTTGGTTCCACCATTAATTTATCGCTCTTGGAGCGAAATCTGTTTAGTGAAAAAATTCACTGTTTATAGATCGTGCGTGTAATTGTTGCGAGAAAGATTTGCGAAAGTGAGTGTTAAAAACCTGCTATTGTATTGGGAGCCTATCTCATAATAGAGAACTTTCCTCTAATAATATAAGTGATACGTTAATGCGAAATAGTTTTATCTAATAGGAAAATAATAGAAAAACAATGGAGTTACAAAGCGTATATTTAAATATGCAAATGTGACATTGTAATACAGCGACGGTGCAGCAGTATTTTGTGGAATACACAAGTTTGAATAAAATTGTGACAAAGCATGAAAACTCGAGCTTACGCGCGAACGCAAATTTTTCCGCTCATTTCGCCCGTACGTCGAGACGTACCCAAACAGACAGAAAGTCGATCAACGGTTTCTTTTTACGGACAAAAGTTAATTATTGCCGTTAACGAGATCATTGATAATAGACTTTAATTACAATTCTACGTCGTCGCAATAAATAAAATACCGTGTAAAAAGCAGATTCTACAAATCAGAAAATTTTCTGTATTAATTACAAATTTTTATAAACATGCCAATTCGACAATACTTTTGTGTTGTCAAATTTATTTTACTTAACGTGTTTTTTAACACAATAAAATAATTGCAAAGGATTGCACCAAGATCGAGGCAAATAATTCTGATGATTAAAAATCGCTAGGTTTATCACGCGAAAGGATAGAAACAATTTCATAGAAAATTAGTTCGCGCCATTTACATTTGCACGCTTTCGATACGTCTCGCATTATCGCCTCGCGATTTGTACGTGTGGATGCATTGTCTTACTGAAACAGTGAGTGCACAATTGCGAACGCGATTCGTACTGTGTCGCAGGAGGCTTCGAAATCGATTAGTAATTCGCCACCGCGAACACGCGCTATCGATTTAATCGGTCACAGCATTGGCACCGATCGGTAGAGACGCAGGCAAGTCCATCGTCTCGACATTGTCCGTCTTCGACGAGTTCATTGTCGCCAATCGCGAAAAGCAAGCGAGCTCCAAGTTAAATCGCTCGCAAAGAGTAACTGCTTTATTGAGGAATACGTGCCTCGTATTTCGTTACACAGTAAGTCTCTGACGTCGTAATAGAAAAATTATGTAACTAAATTACATTAATACTTACATTTTCAAATTGAACATTCGAGGTATTTGGCTAAGCTTTCTGATGCAATAAATTCGTGAAAGGGATATAAATTATCAATGATTACCTGCATTTTTCTTTGCACAGTTGATTATTCATTTCGTCATTACAATGTTGTATAACGTAAAAATTAGAAGGTCGTATAACTTTAATCATGCTTCATATCAAATATCAATAATTAACGGTTAATAATTACATGTAATAATGATTTTCACTGTTGAACAATTTCTTAAGAAAAAACTACAGTCTATAAAAAGAAAGTAAATTAATTTTTTTAAACTATGCATGGTAGACTGTTTCTTATTTGTTTTTATATTTGCATTTATAAATTAATTACTTAAAAAATTTTGAGTAATTTATGTGTAGTATATTTTTAATAAAACCATAGCATAATATATCATGTTCTCTCGTATTCTTACACGATGTTATTTTATAAAGTAATACTATTTTTATTCTTTAAAAAAATGTCCGCACGCGTGTACGCAGTTTAATATCTTTACCCAATAGTTATAATTTCCTTAAAGTAACTTAAAATTTAAACATATGCATTGCCGTTTGAAACAATTAACAGAACGTAGACTGAGCAATAAATCCATTTTGCGATATAGAAATAATGCATCTTAGTTCGATGTGCGTATTAATTTCTTATCGGCGTGTGTTTTAATTTTATGCTGTCATAGCGAGCGTATTGTGCTGTGATAAAGCGCAGACATAAAAATTCGAGAGAATAACATCACACTGAAAATATAGATAGATTTTTATGCACGATCAACGATAAGAGAATTATAACAGCGTAGCATAAAGTTTAAAAAAACATTTAAATTCTGTGCACTGCGTATGGAAAAAGAAATATGTTTACTTCTCGTAGAATCAAATTTTCACAAATAAAAATTCAGATAGCTTGAGCTCTACAATTAAAATGTAACTTAAAGTATATATAATATTTATCCAGATGGCTGATAGGAGATCTGCAGCCTTCGATTATTCTGAAGGCTGTATTGCAGAAAGTAAAAGAACCGTGTCATTTGAACGTCGATATAACGCTGTAAACTTCCGAATCCCATTTCGGATAAACTGGACTATAATATTGACCATAATGTCAATATCGGTCTGTCAATTCGTAGAATCCGTTGCTGAACGACAAGTGTCGGTAAGCATAAATAATATCTCGAATAAGTTTTATCATATTTGCGTGTTCTCCTACACTACATTACAACAAGGAGAAAAGATAAAGAAGGAGGACAAAAATAACACTTTGCTATTCTTTGCGTCTACCTTTCCGCTTGATAGAGTTCGCACGGAAAGGAGCATTATGATCAACATCGTTCGGAGCGTAGCGTGCGAAGATCGATGGTACCCAGCCAAACTTTACAAAGCGTTGCCGAAGATCCGGCTCTCACGCCGCAGGACGTTTTATCACGTTTGGAGGCTGCTGCAGTTTTACGCGACAATCTGGTGACAACGTTAGGCCGCGTACTGCTACTTTGTCTGAACGACGACGTGAGAATACCCTTGGAGCAGATTCACAATGCTGCGCGAAATTATCGAGTTGCAGTTTACGAGTTTCTTCCCGTTCTACCGGCACTGAGAAACAAGTTACCGAAGCAACAACTGTACAAGCTCCTGCAAATGCTGGAGAGGGTCGACAACCGCTTCGTTTCCGAATACGCGTCGCTCTGCATAAGCGCCTTTTCCGACGTCGACGCCGCCCTGGAGCAGGTGCCGCTCGCCGATATGTTGCTCGACATAGACCAGGAAGTGATCGAGTCGGTCTCGCGCGATAAGCAAAGGGCCGGCGTGTTGCATCCATCCCTGGCGAAAGGCATTGACTTTCTGTTACAAGCGGCTCGTAATGGCGACGAGATTCTCAATCTGCGCGCAGTGTCCGCGATACTGTTAAATTATCCGGTGTTTGATCTGACGGATCCGGAAGTCCACAATGCTATTAGATTTATCGCGCAACGATTAAAGGAGCGATCGGGCTCGGAAGATGCTCTGTTACAGTATATGGGACCGAATCTGGAGAATACAACAAATTTTCTGAAAACGCTCCTGGAAAGACTGGAGACAGACGAGCAGTCGTCCGAGACAACTAGGGAGGCGACCTCATTATTGCTTCAGAATTTCAACGTGAAACCTTATCCGTCCACTCCCAACCGGAAAGACAACTCAAAGAAACTCTTGGTAGCGGCGAATGATTATTATCCCCTTAACGCCGCCGCCGTAGCTAAATATCTACTTGATCATCTCGATGATTCGCATCTTCAGGCTCTCGATATTGGTTTCTATGAAACAGGCGATCACGCTCTTTTACAAGTGTTGTCGCGCCTCCGTAGACAATCACATCTGCGGCATTTGAGGAAACCGCTGTCCCTGCTGATACCTTTCGTCTCGCAGAAACTGGCGAACGACGCCAATTACGACTACACGGCGCCAGTTAGCTTCTACGAGGTGAATGATTATTTAGATGCCTTCGACACGCCGTGCCTGCAGCCGAATATTAGCGACGCGATGAAAATGTTACGTCCCCATTTATCAGAGGATCTACCGTGGACCTATGCCTTCGGAGATAGACGAGTGAGCGATGATCCTTGGGAATTAATCTTGACCTCGCTGATCCATTTGAGAAACGTCCCGGTGAACGAGTCGCAAGCAAAAGTTATCGATAATTTCATTTACAAAGGTCACGTCAATGGTCTAACCCCTAGACGAGGACTGCTCTACGATTCCGGCATCATCTTTCAGAGAGACGACTCGGCGGATGTGGAGGTCGATATCTTTTCCCTGTTGATGCGTATACCAGACGCCTTCAGGAGCGAGAAGTTTACTCCTGTGCTGAATTTTATGTCCAAGCGGAACATTCTCAATATTCTGAGTTACGAGTTCAACAAGTTTGAACACGAAACACCGAGGAACTTATTATTAGCCATGCTGAAAAGAGCGCGGACACTTCCTCTCGTGAAATCCGACGAGCCTTTAGCCAGGGCTCTCCAAAACACTCACGATTACCTTGAAGAGCCGTTACTGATCAATCTATATATCTCAGAGGATCTGCAACTGTTACTAAAGAATCTGCCGTACATCGATAGCGATCCGCGATATCTACCGCTAAAGATACTCTTTAAAAAACGTAAATTATTCACGCATTTATCGTCGACCTTCAGTCTGGCTGATGTGCACACACCGATGGAAAGACTCTTGTTAATATTAAAGACCGTGAGCTTGAAAACCGCACAACCAAAGCTTTCCGAGGCGCTAAGCCTTGCTGTCAATAACGTCAACGGGCCACCGTTGCCGATTAAAACTTTCGATCGCTCAGATTTTGTCTACCTGGTTCAACAACTACTGTCTAGAAATGAGTCGCTGCAGAACGAAATTCTCAAGTCGTACGTGTACACGAACGTCGGTGACTGGAACATCTCCATCAGCGGAACGCCGGAGAACGTTCTCGCCAGAGCCTTGAGCTCTCCCATTAATTATATCTCATCGGACGGAAATCTAGCCTCCCTCACGAAACGGGCGCTAAACATCCTGGAGGAAGAAGTTCTAATCAACACCGAGATCCTGAAGAAACAGACATTGGAAGCAATGCTGGAGTATCTGCCAAACAACACGTACGTGAAGCCCGTGATTCTGTTGCTGAGGAAAGCAAATCTGATGATGCTCGTGCCAAAATTGGATCTTGCGACCTTAGAAGGAACTGCCGCGCGCGATGCTTTGATTATGCTTCTGAAAAGTTTAACGGAGTCTCGCATAATACGCGCGGAGAAATTGCTACTGAGACGTGTCAGAGTGGCGTTGAGTTCCTTAGACGGTAACAGTGGAGACGATCGCCAAACGCCACTTTTTGCTTACTTGATCCAATCGTTGCAGGATCCAAGTAATGCCATTTACCAGCCACTCCTGCTAGAAATAAGCAAGTTACATTACCTAACGATTTCGCCTGATGAACGACAAGCTTGGTTGCAAAGTTATTTCCAGGAGATCATCGACAAGAATGAGACAGAGAACTTGACGATGGCTGCGTCGATGATGCTTAAAGAGATTACGCATGACGAGAGTCTGGAGTCGCGTGCTAGTAAAGAACGAATTGGTAAAGCTGTATCGCTATTACCTGCGGATCCTTTTGTCAAACCACTGAGAAGACTATTGACACCTGATTGGGCATACAGCATTTTGCCGGAAAAACTCAGAAACTCCGATTCGTTAGAAAAAGAGGAACTTCTGCAATCGATTCTGCATCACGCAAAGCAACAAGTCAACGTCGCTGATAGCTCTGGTTTAACGAGAGCCATTTTCAAAATCGAGGCAAATTTGAAAGGATCGGGCACAGATATTGAATCGCTGAGGAGTGCCGTTGCTGCCATGAAGGCTGCCGTTTACGATCCTGTTAGAAAACTTCTAAATGCTGCCGGCTTGAATAAAATAAAAGTCACCGTTCCTACTGATAAATCGGCTAAAACGTCGCTGCTGGGATTATTACATCGTTTGCTATTGCATCCTGTGGTCAAAAAGAACAATGACGTTTTAAAACTGTTGAGCGCCGTTAAAGAGGACGTAGTTAGCTTCGGAGTGGATGTAGATTTGTTGACTGTACTCGATAATGTGGGAATCGCCGACAGTAACGAGCTCGCTCCCATTAGATTGTTCTTGCATAGACGGGATGTCAACGAGAAATTCGGGCGTACCGTCTTCGCAGTTGCCGATCCGAAAAAGCGCTATCGCACGTTACTGCACATTCTCCAGAGGCAACACCAAAACAACGACACGCGATTTTTCGATGCGCTTTCGACGCTGAGGAATATTCAACCTAATGAAAGAGAGGCGGATACGTTGATTTCGGACCTCGAAGACATAGTGAATGCCATTCCGCATCGCGACAGACAGCGGTTTGAATCCATCGAGTATTTGTTCAACGCCGATACACTGTCTCGTTTAACGGATGGTAATGAGATCGTCGAATCAAACACCCCATTGATTACTTTATTGTCCAAGATCGCGGATTTGCCAGAAGTCAACAGTAATAACACCGCAATGAATAAGTTAAATAAGCTACAATTAGATGTCGTACATTTGAATTACCCAATTGTCACCGGTTTTCAACTCAGACCACTGTTGCTCGAACTTGGACATGTTCAGCAAATCAACGTGGATTATCTCAATTCTATCTTAAATCCCGAAATACTGAGTTACTTGAATCCGGAAGAAATGTTCGGCACATCCAATAACAATATCGATATACTTCAAAATATCATCGATTATTTGCTGCACGAAGGACCAGCGTTTGTCGATGATGACATGCAAAGGCATTTGCAGTCGTTCAAGCGCGTTCTGAAACTGACAATAGGTTCCAGCAAGCCCTCGAAGAGAGATTTGACTAAGGAAGACTGGAAAAAGATGCTGAACTTGATACCGCACAAGAAAGACTTCGCGCCCATCAAGAACTTCTTGCAGACCAAAGAAATCCTCAAATATATCAAGTACGAGGACACGGATTGGAAGATGTTTTCCACTCCGGTCAAAAAATTACTTCATCTCCTGTCGTTGATGGACAACAACGAGATTGAGAACGAGAACGTCTACAAGGTGGCGAACAGGTTGCGGCGCAATCTTGAGAAACGTTACAACTTCATTACCGAGAAAGACGTTAAGAGCATGCATCGTACTTTGACGAGTCTCAAACTCAAATATGACTTAGCGCCTCTCAAGATATTTTTGAATCACAACAATATGATTAAGTATCTACCGCCGGACTTCAAGTACACCATCTACAGTACGTCGATCGATGCCTTCGCCGCGGTGCTGGATAATCTGCTGCGGTTCTCCAGCTTGAGACGAAAGGTAATTCTTTACAAGACCATGACGTTCGTGAGACAGGCTTTGCGCGAGCGCATCTCCCCGGCAAGACGATCGTTTCGCAGGGCTCTCGTTCGCAATCAATTATCCAGCAACGATCTCGAATTCGTCAGCCAGTTAAACATGTCCCTGCCGAAAGTACGTGAATTTTTTAAGCCCGAAAAATTAGCGAGTTTACTGCCGGAATCGTTTACCTTCGATAACCAGCCGACGTTCAAGACGAAAGCGTTACATTTGCTGCGACAGCTGTTAAAATCGGATACGGGCATTCATTCGGAATTGGAGGGACTCGTCCGAGAAGTGGAGAATTATCCAGACGTTCCAGAGATCACGAAGGACGACCTCGTGCCACTCATGAACATACTTCCCGTCGAGGGAATACCTTATGTAGGGCTCATTAAAAAATACTTAAAGCCTTCCACGTTGATTAAGTTGTTACCCGGGAATTTCAATATAAAACAAGTGAATGTTGCTAAAGACGCGTTGCACGATGTTTTATCGTTACTGAGCGTCACTCTTGGCTCTACGATGGACGATAAGCTGAAAATAGCCCTCGACGCACTCATAAGAGAATCGATAAAGATTAGTTCCAATGTAATACCGAGAGAATCTATAGTCGATAGCGACGATATAAGATCTATTATAAAAGAGATTCCGTTCCAGTACAGACAAATAGAGCCACTCAAGGCTCAAATGACGACTAGGAGAGTCGTTTCATCTTTACCCTTGAATTTCCAACTGACCGAGTACGAGACGATGAAGCTGCGGGTGTTGGCGGTCTTGGACGAATTATCGAGGAGCAAACAGTTTCAATCTTCGTTGTATTCCATCAATTTCGCCATAAGAGTCGTCAGCAAGATGCCAGATATGCCCATAGTGAACGACACGGAAATCGAGAAGCTGTTATTGCCGTTGCAATTGAATATCTTCTACGTAAAACTGCTTGTGAAGAATTGTAAAGTGGCCGCCTTGATGCCATACTTGCCGATTTATTTCAATCTCAGCGGCATAAAGTCGCGGAAGATGAAGCTCGGGACGATTCTACGCTACTGCAAGCTGGCGAATCCCACGGACGTGAGTACGAGGCAGGCGTTGGCCAACGCTGAGACTTTGCTGAAAGCATCACCCGATATCGACATTACCCGGGATCACGTGGAAGTTTTGATACGAGCGATACCGTGCGCCCATTTCACCTCGCTGAAGCCCTTGCTGCGATTCCTGTCGAAGACTGACGTCGCGTCGCTTCTTCCCTGGGATCTCGACCTGTATCGAACATCGCGCACTTTCAAGCAGCGTATTTTCGACCTGCTAACCGCTATGCGAAATGTCAGGGAGCTGCAAACTGACGAAATATTCTCCGCCATCGATTCTTTAGAGGTGAACGCGAGGTCCTTACCGGAACAAGTATACGTGCCACCGGAACGCCTAACGAACCTGTATAACTCGTCGATCGTGGCGTTTGCGCCATGTTCAGACTATCGGGATTACGTGTTAAAGTTGGAAAATCTGATCCAGATATTGCCACCAAATTTCCACTTTCAACTTGACTACCAAACATCATCGGTTACCAGTCACAGCGAGTGGGCGAGACTTATGCGCTTCTCTGCGCTGTTTCTGCGCGATGTGATAGACGGGCCCGTGAAAACCGCGTTTGAAGCTTGCAAAGATAATGTACGTAAATTTGAAAAGGAGCAGATCTTTACTTACCTATCCCAAGGGTTAAATTACGGCACGTTTCAGCAGCTGGTGCCACTAAGACTGTACACGCTGGGTCACGCGGAAGATATAACCGTGCCCGTTGAAGATATTTATCGCACTTTTCCTTATGGTTCCATATTCTCTATGCTGCGCGTGATGATGAGAGAATTTATTCGTAGGTCAGATTTAATCAAAAGCAAATCGTTAATCAGCGACATGGAGGTGTTTCTGCACGACTATCTCGTAATGTTGTTTAGAGTATGGAGTGTAAATTTGAATGAAATGTTCAATGAGATACCATCGCCTTACGAGATCAATCAAGCCATCGGTGAAATTCCGGGTGATCGTGAATACGACGATCTCAGGCTTCTGACGCAATGTCAAGATATACAGACGCCGATGGAAAGGACAATACTGCCAGAAGATACGCCGAAACAGTTGCTCCTGCAAATGCTGGAACAAGCCGAAAATGGAGATATCGACGCCGCGATACGGCAGAGCATCCAGACTCTTAAGCCGCATCTCGTGAGTGACATTCATGCGGAAGAAGTGGAGTATGTGCTAAAACAGATGCGCGACTACAGATACCACGCGAGCAAAGTAGACAGCCTTCGAAAGTATCTCGTGTCGCGGGGACTCTCGCACGTTCTCGGACAAGATTTTTCCACAAAATATCCCAATTATAAAGACAGGCTGTTTGCGATCAATGACATAGTGTTGACTAACACGATGAATAAATCAACCGGGTGTTCACCCGAGTGCCGCGCAGCATCGGAACACCTGAACCGTACTCTGCACAACGAGATTAAGATCGAGCATATAGTACCGAGAACGATGGACGATATCAATGTGCAATCGCTCTTCTTCGCGTTACCGAAGACGAGAGACGAGAGGATCATCCGCGGTATCATCGAGTTCTTCTCCATCCCCAATTTGCTGCGTAAACTGAAATTACCAAGAGACCCGTTCGAGTACGTGACCAAGGGTCGGCTTCTGCAGGCTATCGTGGACTTGGGCCAGAAACTGGAAAGCGTGCAGCAGGATCCCGTGCAACAGGAGGCTCTGGGGTACTTCAGGGATAAAATAACCATCGTCGGTCCTGGTGCGCAGCCGATCGAATTGAAGAAGTACGCGTACGACTCCAACGTGGACGTGGACATGTACGGCGTGATGCGGGCTATCGATTACGCAAAGATAAACGAGAGCGATGCAGTGAAAGTGGCGATGTTCTTCGAGCGCAAGTACGACAGCCTGGTGCACGCCATGGACTTCGAACGCACGGCCTACGCGACGAGGGGCTCATACTTGAAGGCACTGTTCGAACATCTCGTCAACGTTTCTGTAGTGCCTGATGACGTGAAGCAGCAAATAACGTCGTTAATACCGGCGGTGAGACTGGACGGCCCAGGAGAAGAAAGCGTCGACCTGAACACCGACATTTTTCACGAGGAAACGCCGAGTATGAGGATGTTTGGAGAATTTTTGGATGCCAAGTCTCTCAAACCGGTCACAGATATCGGAACGAAAATATCGCATTCCTTCTACGAGAACAAAGAATCGCTGAACGCTGCAGTCGATAACATACTCGAGACTATACCGTCATCCGAAGAATATCTCGAACATGTTATCGGACAGTCTAACGTCTACGAGGACAAAACTCGCGTTGTCATCGGCGCACCTCAGCACCTTGACGGTACCGCTCGACGAAAGTTAAATCTCGGGCGACCGCGAATGCAAGGCACGAGTAACTCAAGAGAAGTACTAGCCACGGGAACGAAGAAGAAGAAAAACGATCGGTCGACGAAAAACTCGCCGCTCAATGATATCGCCGTTCCACGTAATGAAGCCCGTGTCAAATACAAAATAGCGAAAAAGGCGAAATGTACTATGTCGAAAAATAACTTGAGCCAGCGAACACAATCGAGCGGTCATGACTACTTTAGCGACAAAGGTGATAACAGCTCGCCTGCATTTGAGGAACAGTTAGTGGAATCTCTTCCGACATCATCTCAGCAATTACTGTCCGAAGAGCCGCGGAAGAAATCGCATCACAAACCGATGACCCGACTTCTCATTCAACCGGACACCAGCATTGACATCGAGTACGTGAATTCCGACGGAGACGCGCCGATTGCTAGAATATTACACGATGTATCGCGGAACGAGAAAAGTTTGTCTCTTACCGAGGAGCTAATAGCAGAACAGACGAAACTCGACAAAATGTCGAAGAGTGCAAAGGAAAATTTTTGTAACAGGCACACGAAGAAAAATAGGAACACAAAAATTGGCTCGAGGTAAACTAAACACTTTGAGACACCGATACTTTTCAATTACACGTTAAATATAAATAAAAAATATGAAAACATCAATTACTAATAAATGCGTAATAAAAGAATGTGAGATAAGATATTAATTTAAGTAATGAAATATTAATCTTCGGTCATAGGTCGTTTCTAATTTTTGAAAGTTAAATCAGGATTAATAAAAGTACTAATCATACTTAAACATACGCGTCACTCGCAAATACCATTTGATTGATCATCGCTCGACTTCGCGAACAAAAATGAAAGAGCGATTACACACGCACAGACTCATGAGACACTACTTGCACAATTAAAATATTATTTATTACTAATCTAACATTAATTTCGAAGTAACATTTATGGTGGAATAACGGAGTGAATTATTTCGTCCATTTCGATAAATTGTCGAGTACTGATAACTCTTAATTTCGAAGTAACATGCATGCGAATTTCAGTATCGCTGGTCGAAAGACAGGAGCACAGATATCGCCGGCGATGCGTGCATATAGGGGCGCTTTCTTTGTGGCGAGCAAAAGACAGAGAGGATGAGAGAGACACACTCCGCTTATGCGCGCGACATGGAGCAGCATGGAAGGAGGTACGTGACACAGACGTCACATTAGATTTGGAGGCTAGACGTGTACCAGCACAAACGTATCTCGCGGCAATCTCGTACACCCCCCGCATACCCTCTCCGCTTACCCTTTCTTCCTTTCGCCCGGAGCAAGCACTTTGCTTTTCGGCGGCGCGCGGCTGCGGCTTCAGATACTGCGGAAGATAATCTCGATCTACGCCAAACAGCGTGAGCGACTATGCTCGGATAATATAGATAGCATTCAGCCTGTTCCTCTCGCATCTCACCCGTCCGCGTAACCCTTTCTCTCGGTCTCTCTTTCCCTCTTGCTCCGTCGCTCCTTTCTCTTTCTCTCTCGCTCTCTGTCTGTTTAAAGGCGACTGAATTCAATAATGCGCCCGTGTATACGAAGCCTGAATGAGGGCATTGTTGGTCCCTCGAACCAGTATACTCTTTCTCTCTCTCTCTTCTCCCCCTCCCGCCTTCTTGCTGCTTCCCGCGCTCAATCTGTTTATCTCTCCATCTGAGTTCCTGTCCCCCTTCATCTCTGTAAGGTGAACCAGAGACATACATGGACCGTCCGCGGGAGTCTGCGTGTCGCGTTCCGCGAATGATTCTTCCTCGATTCCTGATCGGTGATACATTGTATCGCGAGGATAACAAAAGGATAAAGGGGGATTATCTCTGCACATAGCTTTCTTTAGTTTTTTCATTATTTCCGTTTTTTTTTCTTTTTGACAAACGTTGCTCACAAACTCTATCTCTCGGACAGGGGTAACAAAATTACAGCTCACTCTGTCCGCAATTCCTTACTTTAGTATTATCTATTATAATATATTTCTACAGGCCTCTAACAATTAACTGACTTGTCCCGATTCTTTAACACTTAGCTCGTTAATTTAACATGTTATTAGCGTCTCGTAATGATACGTTTCTCCCATCCCCAACTAAAATTGCTTAGTTTAACGCCTTTAAGACTTTAAATCTTTAATCTCGTATTTTCTTCGTACGCAATAATGTTAAACAATTATGTGCCTCGAACAGAATCTGATAGAACAGCGAAACGCTTTGAGCAGACGGGCGATCATGGTTTTCCTCTCCTCCCCGTTCCTCACGTTGATCACGAAATTGCCTAAAGCGTTGCAATAAGCCATAAAGATACCGTAGCGGATACCAGCGCGCGGTATATACGTGAACCCTTCCTTATAAAGATATGTGTATCCTGCATCGAGAATAATTATATAGACGCGCACGGTCCGTAAACCAGCAGATTCGTACCGTAGATGCACCCTCGATGCACTCCGTCTTCTCGTTTTCTTCCATCTTATCACGTCCCGCGCAACTCGCACGTTTATTGACGTCTCAACGATGCGCGCATATTCTTCTTCTTGTCAGGGAAGCGTGACTGTGCGCGCGCCGAATGCGAATTAAGTTCTCTCAATCATCTTACGGCACGATTCGCGGGACATTTTATATCGATAAAAAAAGACTATCCTAAAATTGTCGGGCCGCCCCGTTATGGAGTTGGAATACTTGATTAGAATGAAATAGAGGAAATGACGGAATGTTAGTTAAAATACATGCACGCCCTTGTACGTTTCTTGTTCTACGTAGGAGATTAATAAGAGATTGAAGTGTGTTAAAATTGATGTCGTCGGCATTCATAAATGTTGGAAAATGTGTAAGATTGCCATATCGGTATCGGCATATTGATTGTTACATTAAACTGCTCCCGACGTCGGTTTCTGCAGGTGACAATATCGAATGTAGACGCGCGTACATCGACGATCGCAGTGATATCTGCCGTGCAGGTGCATCAGGTGCGAGACACCTGAGGGCCAGCGTTTAACAGCTGATGTCTCGCTGGACTTCTCGTCGTCGCGTCTGATCGAATTTAGATTCGATAGCGCGGCGATTCTCCGCCTTCTATTGATATCGAGCGAAAAATCGGGACGAAAGCTGCCGACATGCGCTAGAAATTGGTGGACGAGTAACGCGACTCGGCACGCGAAAAGTCTCCCCTTTGCAAGACGCTCCGTTGCGATCCGTTATTAAAGACGATTAAAATATAAGGTAAACTAAAGTCAACATAATTATATGATTACGCTAATTAGGCGACGGCCTGCCTATTTTCATGAGAAACGCTCGTAAATTCCGAGTACGCGGTTTCTTCAAATTACTGGTTTCTTTAAAAAGCCGATATAATTCCGCTGATACATATATTGAATAATAATTACATTAAGCAACGCATCGCATATGTACACGCGATACAGCCTTCGGAACGTCGGTATGGCGTGTTGTCGGTTCGTAAAAATCACGGGGAATACGTTGGTGAACTAAAAATCGTACTTACTTGTTCCTCGGGTCCAATTACTCGATGAATGGTGTAATTTGCGTCAGTCGGACATTGGGGAAAGGAAGGAAAATTCAAGTGGGTTCGCGAAGGCATCACTGTTTACAGAGCTTAACGCAGCGGGACACTATCCGCAACAATGGTCTCGCATTACGAGCTTCTCATTATATTGGTGCAACTCTTTTTATTCAGCGGATTAAGGTCGCTCCGTCGCAGCGGGTAGTCTCACGTTGAGACCCCGCAGGGTTTGCTGTCCGGACTGGTCGATGCAGGTAGGCTTAAGGGAATCTATTGGTTTCAGGTGCGAAAGAAAACGTAGCCACCCATTCTACGTCGACTATACCTGAGACAATGCACCGCACTGTTGTAGTTTACGGACATTCCCCGGATTTTGCGGCGATGCGACAGAAATAGCGTTGACCCTCCCGAGGATTTGATCGTACGCATGATAACGTCGAGTTAGTATGGCGCCATAGGAGCGTTTCACAATTTTTGGCTATATCTCTTTTCTATGTATCATCACGGACATCTATTTTACGGCGGGAGAAAAACATGTTCCACTAATACCTTACGTATATTATAACAAGATCCATTTTTTCCGCGACAAACCTCTGTCTTTTGACACGATGTTATAAAAGGTTAAAAATTTTTAAGAGATAGTAGATACTAATATCTATAAATAACCCATTGTGCTTCTACTGCGCTCATACCTAAAACAGCGTGCCCATCTAATCTACTCTATGTAGGCCGTGACCTAAAAGTGTCCAGATTTATCGCGAAAGACCGTAAAATCCTAACAAGATCTTGCATACGAGTACATGTACTCGTATATACGAGTATCCTGTAGACAATCCCGGATAACATCGCTACGTAGGGCAATGACCTTTGAACGGCGGAATCGACGAAACCAAGTTTTTCGTCACAGAGGAAAACTCGAGCCAGCAGAAAACTCTGAGTACTTTTTTTTCATATAACATGCGATCTTCAATACAAATTTGTAAAAATCGGCAAATCCGCGATAAACTGAATTACTGACGATGCGGGCGAGAAAGTTAAAATTGAATGTGCGTCATCGAATACGATATACCCGTTCCAGAAGAGATAATGCTCAGCGAGAGTTTTCCATGGTTACTGTCGATCGAGCATCCCTCTCTGAGAAATCCTTCATTCTTCTCTCGAGAGACGAAGCGCGGAAGGGAGTGTAGTCGAGCGTGCAGACCGTAATCGGCACGCGCTTAATGGAGACATCGGTTATCTATGTCTATTCTCTTTGTTCTTCCAATTACCACTTCCCGGGAGCACAGTCACGTACGCAATACTTGGCACGCGAGTCTGAACCGCCAATTCTCTCCATCGCCCTGTGAGCTTTACGAGACAAGATTGAGAAAGCTGTATGAGAAAGCAAAAAGGGATTGAGAGAAAGAGGGGGAGGAACGCGGAATTGGAAAAAGGGGAGGGAAAAAGAATCGGCTTCCCTCAGCTTGGTATTCCTCTTATCCTCTATGATACGTGCGCGCCGGCCGAAAAACACAGGAGGAGAAACAAAACTATAGGCAGGGGTGGGTTCGTTTAATTTTGCGGTTTAATTATTTTTTAAATTAAAGCCAGCGCGCGCGCGCGCATCCCACACGCGTACACGGCGACGTGTGCAGTTCCGCGTACGATCCATGTTTTATATTCCTTGCAGAGATACGCCAGGACGCTCGCTCAGGAGTCGCGATGCGCGGGGGTTGGTCGAGAAGCAAGGGGTCTGTGAATCGGGTAGGAGGCCGCGACGCGCGGGGAACGTTTTGAATGTGAAATACCGTCTCCGGCAAGGGTGGCGGCAAGCCGGCGGTGAGCAGAGGGCGAGGGAGGGAGGTGGTAGAGGGCGGCTGGCAGGGGTGGCTGATTGTGTGCTCGTTCGTTCACCGGCTCGCGCGCGCTACCAAACGCGGGGGTTGGTAACCGCGAGGGTGGGAAAAAAAAAGAGCGAGAAGTCTGAATAAAAATGTAAAACGCGACTCGCCTCGGGCTTTCTCCGACGTATGTGAAGATGCGGCCCGTATGTGTGGTCGGCGCGGAATAC